AAATCAGTGGCTCATTAGAATCACTTTAGAATAGTGATTACACATTACAGACCAATTAAGTAAGAATCTCTGATAGGTGGGGCTCAAGCATCTTTTTTCTTTTTTTTTTTAAGCTGCCCATGTGATACTAATATGTGGCAAACTCATTGAGAATCACTAGTCTAATTAATTTTTTTTTCTGTTGTGAAGGGTAAGAGCTCCTTCTTTCTTTCTGCTGCATAGAATTCCATTGTGTAAATGTACCATAGTTTTTTGATCCATTCATTTACTGATGGGCACCTAGGTTGCTTCCAGCACTTGGCTATTGTAAATTGAGCTGCTCTGAACATTGGGGTGCATAGGTTTTTTTGAATTGGTCTTTCAGGGTTCTTAGGGTATAATCCCAGCAGTGGTATTGCTGGGTCAAAAGGCAGTTCCATTTTTAGTTTTCTGAGGAAATTATATACTGTTTCTGGAGAGCATTGTGCTAGTGAAGTAAGCCAGGCAATGAAAGGCAAATACCATATGATCTCACCTACAAGTGGAACCTAATCAACAAAACAAATAAGCAAGCAAAATATAACCAGAAACACTGAAATAAAGAACAAACTGACAGTAACCAGAGAGGAGGCAAGAGAGGGATAATGGGGCAAAATAGGGAAAGGTCCATCAAGGAACATATATAAAGGATATATGGACAAAGCCAAAGGGGGTAGGTTCAAGGGTGGGAGGCGGGAGAATGGGTTGGGTGGGGGGCCAAGTTGGGGTGAAAATGGAGACAACTGTACTTGAACAATAAAAATTTTTTTTCTAATGCCTTGCCTGGCATAGCTCAGTGGATTGAGCGCTGGCCTGTGAACCAAATGATCGCAGTTTGATTCCCAGTCAGGGCACATTCCTGGGTTGCAGGCCAGTTCCCAGCAGGGGATGCACAAGAGGCAACCATACATCGATATTTCTCTCCCTCTCTCCTTCCCTTACCCTCTAAAGATAAATAAATAAGATCTTAAAAATTTTTTTCTATATGCCAATAAAATTTGTGTTTATTCCATACTAAGTGGCCATTTTAATACTTGGCAATATTAGCTTTATGTCTCTAATTGGAAAAGCATAATTAAAGTACACATCTAGTAAATTAAATTGTACTACTAAGAACTACAGATCTAGAGAACCTACTAGATGATATTTACATATGTAGCATTAATGTTCATTGTATATTAGTTGAAGAATTATAAATTTACTTTTCAGCTAGTTAACCAAAAACCAGTTATTTTGTATCAAGAGTCATTTAGTCCCTTTTGGGGGAAGACACAGTTGCAGCTGCAGCTAAGTGCTGCCCTACCCGCTCCTGTTTTTGACTCACCTCTGTTCACTCTTACCAGAGAACAAGTTGGTCAGGAAGCCACGCTGCAGTGATGGCTTTTAAAGATACTGGAAAGACACCCATGGCACCAGAGGTGGTGATTTCACCAGATTACAATTATTCTAACTGGATGCACTATAAAGTTTTTGGAGAATGTGTGTGCTGACTTGATCAGAGGCACAAGGGAAAAGGATCACAAAGTGAAAGGACCAGCTCAGATGCCTACCAACACTCTGAGAATCATCACAAGAAAAACTCACTGTGTGGAGGGTTCTAAGACTTGGGATCTGTTTTAGATGAGGATTCACAGGAGCCTCATTAACTTGCACAGCCCTTCTGAGATTATTAAGCAGATTACATCCATCACTATTGAGCCAGGAGTCGAGGTTGAAGTCATTATTTGTAGATGCTTTAATCAACCTTTTAGATAAATTAACTATCAGTTGTTAAAAAAAAGAATCATTTAGTTAATTATTTGAATCTTACTCATAAGAGAGTGTTATAACAGAATATCTTCACTGTTAAGCATACTTCATTTTATTACACTTATCTTTATTGCACTTCACAGATGTTGCATTTTTTACAAACTGAAGTCAAGAACCTCCACCAGGAAACAGATTACAATTTATTTTATTGCTATACTCACTTTATTGCCATGGTCTGAAACTGAGGTATGCCTGTGTATTCATTGCATTTTTTCAGCCAGGAAAGCACCAGTTTAATTCAGAGTCATGCACTATCACTGAAACATTGGATGGTGATGGCAAAATTTATGTTGAGGAGAAATGGGATTTTGAAACCAGGTATGAGTTGCTTTCAGAATTTCATGGTTGGTATAGGAAATAACTATGTTGTTTTGAACATTGGTTGGGTAACCTAGCCAGAAATCAAAACAAAAAAATCAGAACAATTTGAACCTCTGTCTAGGTCACAGTCAAACCTTGATCATATGTTACAGCAGGGGTTGGCAAACCTGCTGGAGGAGACTGTGGCCTGAAGGTTAAGTCCACCCTTTTCCTGTAAATAGTTTCATTGGGACATAGCCACAGTCATTTATGTAATTACTGTTTGTGGCTGCTTTTAGTTGAATAATATTGTAATATAGACTGTACAGCTTACAAAACCCAAAAATATTTACTATCTGACCCTTTGCAGAAAGTTTGCCAACTCCTATGTTAGACTGTGGTATCATACATTAAATGATTGATTTACACATGATTTGCTGACACTCCTTAAGTTGATCCTCTTAAGCTGTCGTTCTCGCACTTCACACACAGGTGACGAGATGATTCCATTTTTAGGGCTTTCCAGTGGAGGTTGCAGTTGAGGGAAAGGTATTTGCCTTGGTAATGAGGGTAGTGTGCTGCTGGTACTTTGATGCTCCTGACATAGCGGGATCAGGAGCTTACCTGGGGTCGTGTCTGTTTGCCTAAGCCATCCTCCATGTTCCTCTACATCACAGTCCTTGCTGTTGATCCTTCTCTTGGGGGTGGTAACTGGCAGGTAACTGGCAAACCTGGATCAGGAGGATCTTCCACTGCAGTCTATGGGGATAAAGACCATCTTTAATATACTTTGCTGAAGTGCACCAGCTTGCAGTGCCTGGGGCGTCATGGATGGGATATAGGCAGATTCACACAGACTACCGAGTCCTGAGGAGGAAAAGGGACCATACAGCTACTTCCTCGAGAGGGGAGCACCTCAGAGTGGCTTGGCCACACTCTGAAGGGGGTAGCACATTCTTGAGGCCTGGCAACTCTCTCAAGGGGAGAGTGTGCTGGCCTAGACAGGCTTTTATTGGGTTTAAGTTGCACAGGAATACAGGTACAGCTTATTAATCATTGTCAGGCAGTGAGGATCAAACCATAGATAGCATACAAAGAACTATTAGGGCTTCTTCTGAGTCAGGGTTTACCAGCTAAAAGGTTACAAAACTTTGGGAAAACAAACTCATTTCCTCTTTGGGCCTTTATCATTTAACTAAGAGGATTCTTAGCAAAGCAGGCTTCACGGGATTTTACATATTCTTTCTCAGGCCTGATCACCAGGGGAGCCCGCCCTTTCCAGGCAAGGCTGCACCACCCTCAGTCATTGTTTTCAGGCTTAAGTCAGGCAGAGGAGGCAGACAGCCAAGGAATTCTCAGAGACTTCTCAAAGACAGACTGAGGACTCAGACTTCGTCAAAGCCTAGGGGCAAGGGTCCATCACCCCCTTTCTCCATAGCCCCCAAGTCCTTCCCTGGGGCCTCCACATGAGCGTGCCTGGCTTAGGTGGTTCCCCCCTGGGGGAATCTCGTCTAACTACAGGTCTTTAATATACTTTCTGTCATTGGCTAACTGATCAAGCATTAGAGGCCAGTGATGGAAAAAGGAACAGAAGTGGTGCTCCTGCCAGGGATATAAGGTTTTTCTCCTTAGTGGCTTAAGGTCCGAATTTCGAAGGTCGCTCATTCGGCCTTAGCCATGGGAGGCTATAGCTCCTGAAACCAGGCAAGGCTGTTCCTAACACTTTGCTAGTAGTGGATCTGGATGTGAAAGTTTAAAGACTAGGACTAGTGACTTAACCTTTAATCCTTCCTGGTCCAAGTGGAGAGTTCTAGAAGGTGTGGAGAGCTAGTGGAGAGATCATATCTGGCTCCATTCCCCTACTCTCTGGCACAATAGAGGGTAGCTGGCTCATCTCTTAGCTGTAAGCCATATCACCTTGAGCACCTGAATGCTAGTGAGGGCTCTCATCTACTTAATAGGTTACTTATACCTGAAAAAGCAGTATGTGCAAGTAAGTACATTAGAGATTTAAGAATATAAAAATTTTTAGGTTTAGATGCATATGACTTCCTTTTCTAACTTGTAAAGTTTTTAAGTTTTAGCTTTTAGATCTTCAGTTAATGTTTGTTGAAGGGCATTGCAAACAAAAGCAAGGAAGTGCCTGTAAATGAGATTAAGTGTAATGAAGTCCTGCTACACACAGGTAATGTGATCAGTAGAGCCGAACATTTGGACTAGAAGTTACAGTCTTGAGAAAAATGTTTGGGGTTATTTTCTTTTGAGGGGGATTAGGATGCTTGATATAAAATTTTATTAATAAATGTCAAGATATTTTTGTGAATACAGAAGATTGTAGGGGTTTTTTTTCCTAAAATATTTAAGGTGGCTTCTGACCAGAATTTCTCCTCTGAAAGTATTTGAAATGTGATGATTTAGTTTATTCTATTTGTGATTTAGGTCCAGATCTATGCCCAAATGCCTTTTCTCTTGGGTATAAGTTAGTTATAACCCTACCTTATTTAAATCTGTGCTAAAAGAGGAGTTCTTCTGGTAGTTGACCTTTATTTCCCCAAGGTACTGAGAAATAAGGAACCTGTATTTGGGTGCAGCATTCTAGATTGGGATAGCTCTAAGTGCTGCTAGTGTTCGAGGACCCTGGCCTTTATATTTGCTCTCCTAGTGTGCTAGGGCAGTGAATGTAGTAGAGTTAATGGAAGCAGGCTGAATTGCTTCTCAGAATAAATGGGTGATAAAGATACCAGTAAGGATGAAATTCTTCTTATATGAGTGTTTTAAAGTAGTCTTAAATTTTACTTAGCTGTGTTTATGGTATGTGATTTTCTATGTGTACTCCCCTCCCACCACTAACTCTCATCTCTTCTTTAAACTAGATCAGCAGCTGTTATCTGTTCTACAAGATGAGTAACAGCCACCCTCTTCGCCCCTTCACTGCAGTGGGGGAAATTGACCATGTGCACATTTTGTCTGAACATATTGGTGCCTTGTTGATTGGGGAAGAATATGGTGATGTCACATTTGTTGTGGAAAAGAAACGTTTTCCTGCCCACCGGGTAATTTTAGCAGCGAGGTGCCAATATTTTCGGTAAGTCTGTAATACTTTTTGAAGATTCAAGTTAACTTGTGGAAGCGTTGGTATTTTTTTAGTCTATAAAAAGTAATAAAGCATAACAATAAATACTAGCAATCCTTGACTTCAACATCTATTAGAATTTCATCTTTGTAGTAAGTTTTTGTAATTTTTTGAAAATTGCCTTTTCTTTGGGAGCCATCTTAGAATGATTGGGTTAGAAGGCTCCTTGGGCTAGACTGTACCCAATCTATCAATTTTCAAGATCTCAAGAATATTTATTTCTTAGGCTGAATTTTTGTTGTCCTCACCTTCTCCTCAGCATCGATTACTAATTGGCAGATAGGCTTCTGGTATAGACAGACGACCCTCTGGACTTGCTAATGTACATGAGTACCTCCTAGTTTCAGACGGTTGACATCCAGGACCTGTAGGCAGCCCAACAGATGTACCTTACTTAAGATGAGCAATTTGATGCCCCAAATTAAAGGAAACTTAAGTACTTACTGAGACTGTTTCACAGTTACCCTAGAACTAAAACTAAACAAAATATGTATTTAATTAATATAAAACTTGTGTTTATATGTAGCTATTTTTTGGTACTCAAATGCTTAATTTCCAGGGTTACAAATGTTAAAGTGAGCTCTGATTACTCTGCATTATAGCTAATGTTAGTTATAAGGGAATCATCACTGAGTGAAAATTTATCTTTGATAAATCCATTGATCTCTATATATAAAATCATTGATTTCCCTGGGAAACTTGATATCTCAGTTTGAGATACTGATGGCTTAGAGAAAAATTCAGTTACCTTCTGTGAAAACTGAGGTCTGAGTTTTATAGTCAGAAGTAATTGAAACAATGTCACGGGAACACCTAGAGTCACATAGTAAAGTGTGTCTCTTAGGAATATTTACTACTTAACAAGAACTTTTATAGTATTTTATACCATATTTTAGAACATTCCATCTTGTACATATGAAGTGCCACTGCAGATGTAAGGAAGAGGTAGATGAAGTGAGGAGCCTAGAAAAGAAAAGAGCCTATTAGAGTTCTTGCTAATACCTCCTATTCCTCTTGCTAATGGCCTTGGTCTAGTCATTATTTGTTACCAGCTTCTGTCCTCTGCACAGTTTTCCTTTCATGTTTCTGTTCCATTTCTTACTTTTGGTCTGCTTATTACTATTAAAGTGTTTTATGAAGAATCCTTTCTTTGTTAAGTCAGAATGTTTCAGCTTTATGTTTAATATTTGTTAATAGTTTACACCTATCCTCTTTCAAAAATAATTTGAGACAACCATAATTACAAGTGGGTATCTTTTAGGTGATAAACATATTCTTAAAAGAAACTCAAATACTTAAAAAAAATGAAGACCATATTAAATGAATGGAATATACTCCTTTACTTATTGACCTTGTTCTTGATGCCTGTTTGTGGATATTGAACCTTAATATCCACAACTATCTGATACCTCGTGAGGCTAAACTGAGAGTCATTATCAGTGCTATCTTAAATTCTCATTGCTGACACCGTTCCTTTGTGAAGGTGAGTTAACTGTCAGTAGTCAGGAGAGGCTTTACTAAGAGTTGTCATAGAGCCTGTCAATTCCTGGAGAAGGACAGGAGGGAACTTCCCACAAGTTGGGGATTCATATTTAGGGTCTCAAGGGAGCTCCATCAAAACCACTTTTAAAGCATTGAGAATTCATGTAAATATCATAGGTCCCACTGGAGTGAGTCTTGGTGAGATCTTCCCAGGAAGGTATTTTTAATCTAGTGATTTTAAAGTTGTGGTTGGATATTCTCTGGATTAGCTGAAACCTTCAAGGATGTTTTTAGGCAGAGTATACCTAGTGAAGAGGTATTCGTGAATACCTCTTCAGGATATTTGTGAATCTTTTGCTGGATGGTTTTACTTATTTTTCTGATCCTCGGGGAGGGTGAGAAAAGTTCCTGGCAGGTGTGTGTGGGGGACCCTGAAATGCTAAACCTGCTGTCAGAATGTTAGGAGCAGGGGGAAATTCCTTTTGCCCCCTTGTTCTCTTGCTCTCACTTTTACAAGTTTTCTTTCTCACTCTTCACTATTCCTTTTCTGTGCTCCTACCTTGTCATCCTCTGGCTGCCCTTTCTTTCCAGATAGATTGAAAGTTTAATTGGTTCATATAATTTCTCTGGAGTAAGAGGTAGAAATTCAAATCCATTGCATTACTGAATTGTCTAGTTTTATTTTTTTAGATGAGCAGATAAACAATAAAGTGGGGATTTTTTAAAACTGACAAGTAATGAAAGAAAAAAGTTAAGTCATCCATAATTTCATTAGCAATTACATTTTTAATTTATAAAATAACAGTGAAAGCCCTTTCCTCCCAGCCATCTATTCCCATTCCCCAGAGATAAGCATTGTTAACAGCTTAATAAGAATTTTTCCTGATTTTTCTCAATATAAATAGACATATCTATTTATACATATATCTATGTATATACACATATAAGTATATGCTGTATATTTTTTTACTCAACACATATGGATTTGCAATTTAACCTACTATATTATGGACATCTGTCCAAGACAGCATATATTGACCTCCCTTAATCTTTGTAATGTATATCACAATATTCTCAATCATGTTCCTATTGATGGGCATTTAAGATTTTTTCCAATGTTTCCATCATTTCAGTATATATTCTTATATACTTATCTTTAAAATCATGTGGTATTATGTCTCTAGAACTGAGTCATAAAAGTGAGATTACTGAGTTGAAGGATATTCATATTTTAGATTTGAACAGATATTACTTAAATTACTTTCCAAAAAGGGGTGCCCATTTATACTCAAAGCAGTTCATAAGAGAACCTGTTTTTCCATTGCTTTTTCAGCACTGAATATTAACAGGCTTTTTAATTTCTGTCAGTTTAACAGGGAAGAATGGCACCTGATTATGGTTGTTTTTATGTGATTATATCTTTTCTATAGAGTTTTACTTTTTAAAACTGTCTTATTGATCTTTAACATGTTTATATTGATTTTACTGTCCCCCTCAAAAGAGCACTTTGAACTTTTTTAAAAAAGATTTATTTGTTTTTAGAGAAAGGAAGGGAGAAACAGAGGGAGAGAAACATCAGTGTGTGGTTGCCTCTCATGCACCCCCTACTGGGGACCTGGCCTGCAACCCAGGCATGTGCCCTGACCAGGAATCGAACTGGTGACCCTTTGGTTTGTACGCTAGCACTCAGTCCACTAAGTTACACCAGCAAGGGCTCATCTTTCTATTTAATGAATGTCTATTATATATCTTGAGCTTTCAGTATATTTCATTAATCTAGTTGTCTATAAAATCAATTCAAAATAGTTTTTAAATGATTTCTCTTAATGTTTTAAAGAACTATTTAAAATGATTACTATGCATTTCTTTACCTGAATCTTTATGTCACTGTATAAACTTCTGTTTGTATGATGTTGATAGCCATTATTTCATAATTTTGTAGCAACTCTTACTTGAGGTTTTTCTCATGCATTGCTTGTTTGACACACAGAGCATTACTGTATGGTGGAATGCGAGAATCTCAGCCCGAAGCAGAAATCCCTCTTCAAGACACCACTGCAGAAGCATTCACAATGCTACTTAAATACATCTACACTGGGCGGGCAACACTGACGGATGAGAAGGAGGAGGTGCTGCTGGACTTTCTGAGCCTGGCTCATAAATATGGATTTCCAGAGCTGGAGGATTCTACTTCCGAGTATCTCTGCACCATACTTAACATTCAGAATGTCTGTATGACTTTTGATGTTGCTAGTCTCTACTCACTTCCCAAGTTAACTTGCATGTGCTGCATGTTTATGGACAGAAATGCTCAGGAGGTGCTCTCAAGTGAAGGCTTTCTCTCTCTTTCTAAGGTGGGTCATTGTCTACGAGGAATTTACAGGCATGCATTGTTTTGCTTATATCTGAACAGTAGAAATGCAGCAATGAACTAAGAATAAAAAATAAAAGTTGAAGGTGTGGAAGGGGTTGTCTGCCTAGCCACCCTGCCTTTGGCTACTGAGACTCTAGATTATATAAGAGAAAGATTGTGTCTGTTTTTTTTAAGGAAGTTTCATGCTGGTAAATTCTGTGTGCTGAAGAGACTGTGATGCTGCGTGGTTGTTTTCAATGTGATAACAGTTAAATGATGACAGTCTTTGTGGTATTATTGCATACTATTTTTTCAGTTTGTATTTCTTTGGTAAAGAGGATAACTCCTTATATTGAGAGAAAAAAATTCATAAAGAAGATCGGATGTATCATTGGATGTCTTTTTTTTTTTATAATTTATTTATCTTTAGAGGGGAAGGGAAGGAGAGAGGGAGAGAAACATCAATGTATGGTTGCCTTTCATGCGTCCCCTGCTGGGAACTGACCTGCAGGGAACTGGCCTGCAACCCCAGTATGTGCCCTGACTGGGAATCGAACCGCGATTGTCTGGTTCGAAGGCCCCCGCTCAATCCACTGAGCTACACCAGCCAGGGCTCATTGGATGTCTTTAAGTCACTGTTTTGTGTATGTTGGGTTGGCCAAAAAGTTCTTTTGGTTTTTTCCATAAGATGGCTCTCATAGTGCTTAGTTGTCTTTAGCTTAATTCGAAAAAATTTTGATTGTACTGTGACAGCAGTCATGTTAGCGTGCATTTAAAAAAAAAGCTTAATACCCTGGCTGGTGTGGTTCAATGTATTAAGTGCCAGTCTGCTAAAGGGTCACTGGTTCGATTCCCATTCAGAGCACATGCCTGAGTTGTGGGCCAGGTCTCCAGTAGGGGGCATGTGAGAGACAACCACACATCGATGTTTCTCTCCTTCACTCACTCCCTTCCCCTCTCTCTAATAATAAATAAGATAAAATATTTTTTAAAAACTTATCAAAATTGGTGAGTTTTTGTGTAGCAATTTTAATATTGAAGATGGAAGAAAATACTCAACATTTTTGGCAATTATGCTTTATTATTTCAAAAAAGGTAAAAATGCATCTGAAACAAATGAATTGTGCAGTCTGTGGAGAAGGCGCTGTGACTGATCAAATGTGTTAAAAGTGGTTTGTGAAGTTTCATGCTGTAGGTTTCTTGCTGGATGATGCTCCACAGTTGGGTATACCAGTTGGAGTTGATAGTGATCAAATAAAGTTAATCAACAATCAAAGTTATACAATGTAGGACGTAGCCGACACACTCAAGATATCCAAATCAATTAAGTTATTTGTGAACATGAAAAATGTGTCTTTTATGGAAAAAAACTAAACTTTTTGACCAACCCAGTATGTTTTCTAGCTCCACATTCATTATAATTTGGTGTTTTACACTGTGTAATAGGGTAAAACTATTTTGCTCAAATCTTTCTCTGAACCTTGGTGGTTGTCTCTCCTTTCCCTTTTTGCATTCTCTCCTTTCTCATGAATATTTTGAATGAGAACACCTAATTTAGAAAGCTACATATCTTGTTTTTAATTTAAACTATGATTTTTATTTTTCTACTTTATTTCCAGAGGCAAGGTCTTTGAGGGTTGCACTCTATTGCTGGAGGTTAGTCTGAAAATCTGAGAACCAAAAGTATGGTAGTGCAAACAAAAGATTTTGGATTTTAAATGCCAGATGTATCTTACTGACTCATAAATGTACACTCTCCTAAAGAACGTGTATGGAAAAACAGCTAGCTCCTCATCTTGCCATTTCTTTTTCTAGTTATTTTTATTAAAGATGGATGCAGATGTGTTGGAAAGACTGGATGTTTGCTGTAATGGTACAAGATACCTGCAGCTATTCTTATAGCCACAATGTGCAGGAGAGTGCATGGCACATGATAGAGAGAAAATGGCCAAAAAGAGTTAATTGTATACATGCAACTGACACTTGCAGTTCTTTTGGATAATGCACATGGTTAGCTCCATATAACTGGAATGTTTTCTTGTTACCCTTTTCAGACCGCACTTTTAAACATCGTATTAAGAGATTCGTTTGCAGCTCCTGAAAAAGATATTTTCCTAGCCTTGTTAAACTGGTGTAAGCACAATTCCAAGGAGAATCATGCTGAAATCATGCAGGCTGTGCGTTTACCTCTGATGAGCCTCACGGAACTTCTGAATGTTGTGAGGCCTTCGGGACTGCTGTCTCCTGATGCCATTCTGGATGCTATTAAAGTTCGGTCAGAGAGCCGGGATATGGACCTCAATTACAGAGGCATGCTCAGTAAGTACCGGTTCATCCTAATCTCACCAAGGAGTTTTGTTTGCATCATATGACAGTCTCAGCTACAAAACTATAGTGCAGGTGTACATGGCATGTGTGGGCCTAAGAGCATATAGCTTTGCTCCCTATGTAATGCCTTTTCTTGTCATTTTCCTACTAATTCACCCTGAGAGTGCATAGCTGTTGTAGATTCCCAGAGAGGTATTTCTTGCCATTCTTGGACAGATTTCTGTAGTCGTTCCTTAGAAAGTTGGAAATAGATACTTTCCTCAAAACCTTTTTCTCATATGAAGACCTCTCCTCACTTTCTCCATCAAGTCAGTACTAAGTACATGCTATGTACTTATTTCTTTATGCACCATGAACATGAAAATTCTAAATAACCATAATAATAGCTAAATCTTATGTATCATTTCCAACCCTTATGTGGTAATTTTTCTTAATAGAAAAACAATAGCATTGAACACATAAAGTTTTTTATGTCTCAATAACTATCTTACATGATTATTTAATTCTCACAGCAGTCCTTTGAGGTGCATACCATTATTGGTTCCATTTTACAAGTGAGGAAACCAAAACACAGAGAGGTTAAGTAACTTGCCCAAGGTCACACAGAAAGAGTCATGGAGTTGAAAGTTAGACTTAGGCAAGGTAATTAACCACTAAACCACACTAAGTGCAAAATATACTCTGTACCTTTGATTCTTTAAATTTTACTGTGGAAATAATACATACCACATGAAGAGTTAAAGACAGCAGTATTTAAGAAGGGTACATGCTCTGAACTTCAGAAGAGGGCATGGCTTAGAATGATTGAGGGAAATTTCATGGAGATTATAAAGCTTGAAGTAAGCATATTTGCATTTGATTTGAATGGCACCAGGGTGGGTTGTATTTCAGATGGGAGGACTGGTGATGTTCATAGACAGATGAGAGCATTTAAGGACTGAACAGAGGAGCTTGGCTGGAGTGAAAGGCTTATGTTGATTAATAACCAAGAAAGTTTGTAAAGGGAAGCTCAGGCAAAATCATGGAAGGCTTTGAAATTAATTTGGGATTTTGCGTATGCACAGTGAGAAGCTGATTTTAAAGATGGGGAGAAGCATGAGTACAGTGGTAGTTTTGAAAGATTGATCCGTGGTGGTGCTACACTTGATGATTTGAAATAGGGAAAAACTTGATTCAAGGAGACCAGAGACTGGCGAGGAGGGTATTTAACCAGTGTACAACTGATACATCTTTAAACTAGAGTGATGGCTGGGAAAATGGAAAATAATGGATGTATAGAGGAGATATTTTAAAAATCATATTTTGGTTATTCAAGGGATTTAAATTTGAAGATTATGTTTGGGAGAAAGTTACCTTATTTTATCAAATTTAAGAAACCAGAAATTCTGAGGCACTATTATTTATGCACCTCTGAGACAGGAAACAATAATTCCACTTAAACCATGACACAGCATCACGATTCAGAAATGTTAACATTTGAAAAAAGTGTATCTTAGAATTAATGAAATATAGTAGTAGTTCTTTGAAGAAATCCTGAACTTATTTTTAGACTTACTGAGTTCGAGGGCTTCTGGGACATCCAGGTCCTAAGTTTTTTCTCATGTTAGTCACTTCCCTGAGCAATCTTTTCCTTGACCGTGGCTTTAGACACTCTCTTGAAGTACTGACTGATCTGAAATAGGTGTCCTAGCTGACTTCTCTCCTTACTCATCAGATTTAGATTTCTTTTCATTGGACATTGAAGAGAAAACATAGATTTTGGAGCCAAATTTGACTGCAGATGTCCGATTAGTCACTTACTAGTTATATAACCCGCTATTAAATTACCTAATGGATTTTACCTTTAGTTTTATATTTTCTCTTATTGTTATGAGAATTAATTGAAATAATGCACACAAATAATGTGTGTAAGCTATATATAGGAAATCATTGTTATATTATCATTATTAGTGTTCTTCCTCATCTCCATATGTTTGTGTAGGTGTTATTGCATTATTTTAAACATTTTTTTACTTACCTTTGGTCCTTGAAGGTAGAGATGATCTTTGTAAGCCCTATTAATTGTGATATACTTAACATTTAACATACTTAACAGCATGTAACAGACATTTGGTGAATGAATGCAAGGAAAAATGTCTAATGACAGTGGATGCAGGTTACTGATGTTTAGGAAGCAAATCAAAGCTGGTGATGAAAGAGTTGAAACCTGGGCTAGAACATAGAGAAAGAAGTAAAGATCATAGTCTGTGGTTTATAGCAGACCTGTAGCCAGGGGGCTAAAGGCAGACAAGGAAGAGTAGAGAGGTAGGAAAAGAACTGGAAGAAGGTTACAGAAGCCACAGAGGAGAGAGTTTATACATGGAGAGAGGGTGGTCAGTGGTATCTGGTGATAGTCGGAGGTCAAGAAAATTGAGAATTGAGAGAAAACATTTGGATGTAAATGGTGGTAAGTTGGTGAGTAGTCTAGACTGAAGCTTGGTTAACAGGGAATTAGGCCACAGACTTGAAAAGATGGTAACTACAATGTATTAATTGTCTGCCGTGTGAATTGGAGTGAAAGGTAGTAGAGAAGTAGTTTGGTAGCTGCATGGAACAGGTCAGGAGAGGTGCTGGGAGGGATTTAGAAGGGCTAGAAGATGGTGCTGGACAGAGTATGGGAGGATGGAGGGGGGAGAGATAACAAGACGAGTAATATTACACTTTATAAATTATCATTGTTGGAGCCTCTTCTATAAGTTCCCTTTTTTTTTAAGTTGAGATGAAAATTTTATTCCATATCATGATATGAAATATTTATTTTTTAATTTAATTATTTTTCAACTACAGTTTTCTGCTTTTTACTCCCTTCCCAGTGCTCCCCCCCGCCCCCTGCCCCAATAAGCTCCCTTTTTTTCCCTTTGTTGCCCTTTTGTTCCCATAGTTCTGATCCGAGGTGCTCATGGGGCCCACTATCTGGATTTGTTCTTAAGGCTCGGCTTGGGACATTGCTGCAGGAGTACTGAGGTGCTTTGGACATTTCACATAGTAATTGGTAGCTTGGAATTGATCAGCTGCTCAGTATAGTTGTCTAACCTGGGTTATGATAACCCATGAAATTACCGTGAAAAGGAGTAGTCAGTCAACCAGCTGAGGCACACAGAGTTTTGGAATGACAAACTTACTGTAATTATTGCTCATAAATCTTAAGCTCTTCATTTTGGAATGATTCTATGGGAAGGAAGAGGTTATACAAATATTAGGGAATCTTTAACTTCTAAATTTGAGAAATGACTAAGTAGTTGGCTTTTAAAAATTTTTTTTTACTTTTTAGGTATATGTATAGTAAAAGCAATAATATAAATACTAAGGAAGCATATGATTTTCCCATCAGACCCTAAAAAGCAAGTTAGCTGTTTCCTAAGTAAATGTTATTCAAATATTATATTATTATTTCTTTTATCAGATTGCTTTACTGTTAGGGGAAAAAAGTATCTAAAAATTCAAAACTGTTTCTGAGGTTATTGTTCTGGAAAGATAATTCTGCTTATTTTGAAATTATTGAGCAAATTTGTTTGTTTTTTGTTCTTTTCTGGGTACAGGTTCTTTGTCTTTGGGGACTTTTCATAAAGTGTAGAGAACTTTTTGTCTTGGGACTAGGGAATAATATCCTTTTTCAATTTTTTTTCTTTTAGTTAATTAGCATGGTTACTGGAAGGTTTAATTCTTAGAGCTGCATAGCCTGAAGCTTTTTACCAAATTACAGAGATTTTTACACCCTTAAAAAAAAAAGAGGACCCAAAGGATGTTTTGATGGTTAGTCTTTTAGTGAAAGTGGTTCAGACTAGTTTTGTACATGCATAATGATGAACATTTGTCTATCAACCTGGGGAAAGGGAATTAACTTTTAATAATAATATATTTTCTCCTCGGGTATTTGAGCTACTTGTACTCAGACCATTCTCTCAATGTGTAGTTTTGTCTTAGCTGTAGGGATAGTTATTTCTGCCTTGAAAGTTAGTGGCACTTTTTCTATTCAGACTAAGTTTTACTCATATTTTGTATTGCTTATTTTAGGTTTTAGATTTTGGCAAAGAGAAGAGTAATTTCTCATTTCTTCATGTTTATAGTATGGTTTATGTCACAACTTTCATCCTCAGGATTTCCTTTTTGAGTAAAAGTCAGTCTGTTCATACGACAGCTTAGTTATTGATGTATATATATGTATATATGTGTTTAAGTCTGTGCTGTAGGTACATGGTAACATTTATTCCCATATTTTCTAGTATCTCAGACCAATGGAGTTTGCCACTGTAATATTAAAATTGTTGCTTTTCTTGGCCTAGACCCCTAGTAGATTGAGCTTCTTGAAGGCTTAATTATGTCTTTTCACTTGTGTTTTTCTAGCACCTAGCATAGTGCCTGAATCTAGACTTCAAAATAAATGACTGAATGGATTTATCCCTTGCTTCTAAACTAGAATTTAAAATTTGTCTCACCTATCACAGAAAGACAGCAATGACAACAGTGAGGCATTAATATTTTTAAAACTCTTTGACTTCTATTACTAGTATATCTTCCCAACTGTAGTTTATTGTATCTTCATCTGTAAACCAGGGGGTTCACAAATAATCTCTACTGCATGTTCCTCTGGGGAGGCATCTCATGTCTGACATGAGCTCTTGACTCCATTAGATGGTGAACAGTTAAAGGGCTGAGTCTAACATAGGGACCAGCACATAGAAAGCCACTTAAGGTTTTTTTCCTTTAAATAAATAGGATGAAGGTCCCTTTCAGCTCTTATATGTTTCCATTCCTTGATTTTTGTAAATAATTTGCCTAAAATACTGAGAGAATTGATGCTTGAGTTGGAACCGAAGTGCTGATCAGACTCATGAGGCCATTGCTCTTCAATAGAGTCTGCAGCCTATTTCTGTTTTGTGATGTTGAGGACCAGAGCTGCACAATATTGAAAGGAGGCATGCAGAGAGTGGAGATAGTGGGAAAGTTAAGGT